TTTCCACACAGCCCACCATCTCGGGACAGTGGGTGCGGGGGCCGGCCAGACTGTCCCCGCTACCCCTGCCAGCCCAGGCCCTCCCCCCACACCTAAGTCACATAGCCGTCCCCACGCCAAGGGGCACAGCCCCCACACGTGGAATACCCCACCAGCGCAGCCTGTGGTCTGAAATCAAGCCGGAGAAGGCTTGATTCAGGGGCGGGTTAGCGGGAAATGGCACCCGACCCAAAGCCGCCTCACTTTAAAGACAAACACACAACAGCTCATCTCTTCCCACTTCTCAGAATATCTAAGAATGAAAATGCCATTGTCCACTGGAGGCAACCAAGCCGCCGGCCCCTCCGCCTTACCTCTGTATGCCACCCATCCTTGGTGACATGCTGGCCCCAGGATCCAGCGACAGCAGCCGGTAGCCAACAGTCAAGGTCAAGCGCCCAGCCACTGCCTGGCTGCTGTGAGTCCCCGAGGGGCCTGGGCTGGCCTGGGCACAGCACCAACCAGGATGTAGCCAGCAGCGCACAGGATAAACTTAAATCCCCAAAGGCGCTCACCTGCCATCTCAGGTGTGAGGCCACTCCCACCACCTAACCCCAGGTCAGAGGGTTTAACCATTCTCTTCTCAGGAGAAACTGGACCTTCTCCTGGGGCAGCAGGGCAGTGGCGTGCAGTCTGGGGCTTGTTCTACAGGCCTTTCCCTGCCCAGCTTCTCCGGCGGGGGTTGGGGGGAGCCTCCCCGGAGACCCTGACAGGTACAAGATCGGCAACCATGACGGGCCTGCCCTCAGCTCCCACCTGCTTGCTTCACCCCACCCCACTGCCGCAGTCTCCCCTTGGGTGGACTTGGAGGGAACTGTCCCCCTTGGGACCAGGCTCGGTGGGCCCAGAACCAAGGACAAGTCACAGGCAAACATTCCAGTCCCCATTTGTGTGTGAAAATAAGGTTGAGAAGCAGTCAATAATTTTGAGGAGAAATGAGGGAAGTATGGGACCAGATAACAGAGCTTCCCCCTCCCACCCCGAACTTTGTCTTTTTTAAATCTTGAGCTGGAAAAGAGCTTTCCAAAGAGGACATGAAAGGAGAAAACAAACCAAGTATCGTAGACTTCACGGCATGAGAAGTAATTTCTTTCTTCAAGAAATAAATATGTACAACTCAAAGACAGGACGAACAGGGAAATGTTTGCAGTGTGTTGCCAGGTGTTGCCCACATAGATGAGAGGTCCCTGCAGGACTGCGAGGAAGGATGAGCCCCCACTCCCTCCCCAGACGACGGCCAGCCTCGGGGGCTGCTAAGCCTGGGCACCCTGCTCACTCTTTGCCAGTGTCCAGGTGTTGAACTCTGCCCCCCTGGTGCACCTTTGAGTGTTGGACTGTGTTCTCCCTTTTGCCTGTGTGTAGGTCATACCCATCTTCGCCTGGACCCGGCCAGTCCCCATGGATGGCACCCTCTCCCAAATCAGCTGAGTCTCGGATCCCAGGAGTTGGCATACGATCTGACTGAGCCTACCCACCTGCCTCTCTGCCCCCTGCCAGTGACAGACACGGGCGTGGGTGCATGCCAGATGTGGCCAGAGAGATGGAAATAGAGGGATGGCCTGAGGGTCGGAGGAAAGAGAGGAAGCCAAGTGGCCCTTCCACCAGCCGCTCTTGCTCTGCAGGTGCCATGTGAGGACCCTCTGTTACACCCTGTGTCTGTCCCCCGTGGCCTCCATAGCAAAGCTCCACAGAGGGCGGGCTGGGAAGAACACAAGTGTACCGTCTCGCAGTCTGCAGGCTGAGAGTCAGAGATCAGGGTGTCCGCCGTGTAGATTCCTTCTGAGGCTCCAAGGGAGAATCTGCTCTATTCCCTCTCCCAGCTTCTGGTGCTCCCAGCAATCCTTGGTGTTCTTGGCTTGTGGCCAAATCTCTCCAGTCTCTGCCTCAGTCTTCGCATGAATGTCTTTCTTCTGTCTGTCTGTGTCTCTCTCTTCTTCTTGTAAGGACTCCTGTCGCTGGATTAGGGCCACCCAGCTCCAGTATGGGGACAGTGGCGGTTCAGCGGTAGAATTCTAGCCTTCCATGAAGGAGACCGGGATTCGATTCCTGGGTTTCAGAGGAGCTTTCAGACTAAGATGGACTAGGAAGAAAGGCCTAGATACCTACTTCCAAAAATCAGCCAGGGAAAATCCTATGGATCACAATGGTCCAGTCCCATTGTGCCTGGGGTCACCATGAGTCAGAGGCCAACTTGACAGCAGCTGACAATGACAATATGACCTCATCTTAATTTGATAACATCTGCAAAGACCCCATTTCCAAATTAGGTCATGTTCACAGGTACCGGGACAAGGACTTCAACATACCTTTTGGGGGTGTTATGGATTGAATTGTGTTCTCCAAAAATGTGTGTCAACTTGGCTAGGCCATGATTCCCAGTATTGTGTGGTCGTCCTCCATTTTATGATCTGATGTAT